TTTGAAAAAGGCACCCTTGCTTAGCAAAAAATTTGATTGAAACAAAGGAGAAAATTTCAATAGATTAATTCATTTTCAGTATATAAGTAGCGCCCCCTCCCCATCTATGGTATCCCTGAATCAGGGGTGTTGAAATTCACAATTCAGGCAAAATGGCCCTTGCTCAACAAAGTTATATAGGTAGTTAATCTGCTTAATACCCAGGAGCAGAGAAGAAGATTTTCAAACATTTTCTGCATTTTCTCTATAAAACCAATAGAGCCCCGCCTTAACGACAGAACCCCTGACCCTGAGGTCATAAAATTCACAAAAGTATTATTCCACATCATAACTATGTACTTAGTTTATTCAAAACCCAGGAACAGAGAAGAAGATTTTTAAAGAAATAATGTATTTTCACTATATAATCAATAGAACTCTGCCCTAGCACTAGAACCCTTGACCCTGGGGCCATTAAAATTCTCAGGTGACCTAAAAATTCAATTCAGAAGAATATATGCCAAGTGTATATGCCAAGTTTGGTTAAAATCTACCGTCCAGGTATTTTTAGGGACCGCCTCAAAATACAGATACATTAACTATAGGATAATATAGGAAAATGCTAATTTTAGCACTTTAAAGAAAATTATGCAAAAACTACAATAGCCTTTTTGTTTAAACTATAATATTTGATGAGTAATACTATATTGCACATTATATTTAAGAAATACAAAATTCTACCGTCTTGTTACATGTACAATACGGGGCATCTCAAAATGCCAAAAATTAACGAATTTTCCTGTTTTTAAAAGCGTACTGTTTAATATGACTGACACAAAGGATTTACATGTATATGAAAAGTTGAAAACATAATAAGAATAAGGGAGATTTTCTCAAATTTCCATATTTCTAATTCCAAGAGTTTACGTTTATTAATTGTACTTTAATAACATTTTAATTACCCCTTCAGTTTATCATACCGTCAAAAAAACACGCAGCACTGTTAAGGCCTACTATGAGAAATCAACGGAAAATAGACTTGCAAAAAAGGGGGATTTCTTAAAAACTGAATTTATTTTAATTAAGCTGTTTTATTATCACAGAACACAAATACAATATGGAAATAGCATAGTATAATCCACTCTGTACTGTATGAAGTTTGGTCCAATCAATGGACAGTCACGTGATGAATGCATAATTCGTGTACTGAATGTAGGTCATGAACAAATTTCAATATCGCAAGGGCATGCCCTGTTTGAAATTAAAAATTCAAGTTATTATTTGTTTTTGGATACTTTGTAGTTCCTGAAAGTGCTGCTGCTTTGAATCGAATTCGCGTTTTAATAGTTAGAATTAATAGTTAGAATTTCAGGTAAATAAGCTAATGTCGAAATATATTTGACTTTTACCAAATACTTTGTGTACTTATAAAATCACGTTCTCGATTTAAAGAAAGCAGCAGTACCTTTCAAGTTAAGAAAAATATCCCTTATCTATAATCAAAAAATGGTTAAGATCTATTTAGTGAATGCCCTTGCGAAATTGCGATTTAATGAGGCATCTCGATGTAAAATGTACGTAACCTGTACATAAAAATACGGCATAATTAATAAAATACATTCTCTTAAAAGTTAAATAATAATCACGCTAAACAAAAGATATGCACTGGTATTAATCGACTATTTAAAACCTATAAATAATAACTTCCCTTACTTATGCAGCAATATACCTTCATCACCTGCATACGTAGTATTTATATCTCAGTTGATTCGATATGCTAGAGCATGCTCTACGTATGAACAATTTCTTAAACGAGGTAAATTATTGACAAGCAAGTTGATGAAACAAGAATATCAACAGTCTCGTTTAAAGTCATCATTTCGTAAATTCTATGGTCGATACAATGACCTTGTCAGCAAATACAATTTATCATTGAATGAAATGCTGACTGACGTTTTTCATACCAATTGTTAGTCCATTATTTATACACTGAATTGACCACGGATTTTTTCCGTTATATCCTGATTATGACAACGAGCACACGGCGGGTGTGACCGGTCGGCAGGGGATGCTCACTCCTCCATGGCACCTGATCCCACCTCTGATGTTTCGGAGGTCCGTGTTTGCTCTGCTCTTATTTTGTATGTTTGTTTAATGGACGTTGAAATTGAATACTGTTCGTTATTTCCATATCCTTCCGTCAAATATAAATTCGCATTTTTCATTGTTAAAAAATAGCTCAATCTGCCTCTCACAGGACATGAAATACGTCATTTTTACCAAAATGACGTCATGTTTACAAGTTCATTGCGATCAGTGCTTTGTCTATAACCAACTACATGGGATTTAAGAGCCATTCTCTGTAATGATTTGAAATTTTTTATAGGAGCTGTGACACACATAGTCTCAACATTTCTCCAAACTTTCTATGATAAAAGTCATTGATACCCTAAACTAAAATCAGGCAAAAATTGGTTGCCATGTGTCATAGTTACAATGCCAACTTGTCTTAAAGTTCAAAAAATGGCATTTTTAACATGTTTAGAGTCCCATATTTAATATTTGCAGCAAATCAAACAATTGGCAATAATTGTTTCCCAAAGTTGAAGGTCAGATGTCTTAAATGCATGATAAACAAGTTTGGTAAATCAATTATTACAAAGTATTTAAAAGTAAAAAAAAATATATTTATTGAATTTTATAGTCATATACGTAAAAATAAAAAGCAATTTTAGGATGAAATGCGACCAAAAAATAGAAAAAAGAAAAAGAGCCTTGAAACATATTCAATGAATAAAATATGATATTTCATTTTGGTTGGCAATGGTTGCCAAGGCTTTTTATACCACAGAGAGCCTTCAAAGTAACACTCTATATGTTTAAATTTGATCCTATCTTTTGAAAAAAATAGTACATTTCCTCATAACTAATGATCAATTTTTAAAGATGTTGGTGTGCGCCTAGTTTTCCCATTTGAAAAAAATCAGATTAATTAGATTTTTTGAATAGAGCGTTGCTATGGAAATAAGCAGAAAATATATGCTTAAAAACCTGAAAAAATATTTTCGTTCCTTGGATACGTACCCTTAACTGAGATTCCAAAGACTTCTATGAATGATACTTATTAACAACTAACCTGACTTTTAATTTTGACTATCATCTGATCTCTTAGTGGATGCAAGAAGTTGGCACATAGGGTTTATTATTGATATAACTTTCACAAAATCGAACATTTTCCCTTCTTGGTAACCATATCAACAGTGTTGTTTTCTTCATCCAATTTTATCAATGTATGCTATTCAACTCCACTTCTAACAGATAAGTACTGTTTAAGCTGAGTCCTTAAATTTGTTTCTTGATTAAATGGCAATTTAATTCTTAATACTGCGAAATATAATTAACTTTTAAGCACTGGTACTTTGTTTCCATGGAAACACTGCAAAGTAGCAATTAAACCCAATTATTCTTATGGTTTTGGTGTTGCAAGGTCCTAGGGATGAATATTTGCCAGTCTTGAATTTTCATGTTTTTCCTTAAGACAGTAGCATTAATCAAATCTTAGTTACTGGTTTTGCATGGTTACACTGTGTTACCATGGCAACCATAAAGTTATTTATAAAGTAATATTGCTTATACTTATATATTTAAGTTCAAACATTTTTTTTTCTTAAGTCGTTGATTGAGTTTGAGCATGTAACACTACCATTAGTAAATACTGAGTGTTATTCAGCATATTTAAGCATTATAAATGTATTCCAAGTGTACCCTTGGTTACCACTAATACTAAGAGATATATTCTAAACAGATTCTTTACAGCATAAGTGACATCAAGGTATTATGTTTTTGTAAGAATGATTTATTTGCTTTTTCTAGTTTTATTAAGCGATAATCAAGATTTAAAGTGGCTGAATATCTCGATTTTTCAAACTTATCCGCTGTTGCCATAGCAACCAGGACATTAAGCAACTAAATTTTGTTTGAAATTTGTTTCTGGTGTCAAGTACTAAGCATGGGTGAAGTTTCATCAAAATCGGTGTCCATGCGTGGCAACGAAGTTTAAGTGGTACAGAGAATGGTTATAAAACTAGCAAGTTTTTTTAATGCATTGATAAGTTTTATTGTTGTTTATTATGCTTATACAGCTAAAAGTTGAAAACATTTTCACTTTCAGGTATAATGAGAAATACATAAAAGTCATATTTTTGTGTGACGTCACAGTAAACTTTTCCCCTATAAATTAGGCCCCACCCCCTTATTCAAGCCTTAACATTGATGCGCAATGTAACGACGTAAACCTATCTATCAATTGCAAAATCGGTTAAAAAAATCTGTTATATAAAATTGTAATTGCATTTTAAACCTTTTATTTCTTAATTTTGTTTAATTTTATTAATTAAGAAAAAAATTGCTTTAAAACAGTTAAAACGCTTCAATTTACTATGATGCGCAAAATAATGCGCAATGAAAACCACAGTCGGCCCAGAATGACAGATATTGACCGAAGATACAAGGATTATATCGACCGAGGGCGCTAGCCCGAGGTCGATGTACTCCGTGTATCTGAGGTCAATATCTGTCATTCAGGGTCATTATAAATGCATATTGACCGTGCATTGAGTCCATATTTATTATATTATATGAATTATAATTTCCCAAAATTATTTGTACAATGTATATCTTCCTAATGTTTACAGAGATGGTATTAATCATTAATAAGTTGAATGTAAATGTTTAAGAGTTTATTGAATATTACGTATATAGAACTATTCACAATGATCATCTTATACTCAAAATTATTTAAATGCATGTTGTTTTTAAGAACAAGAGGCTCACTAGCCAGGTATCATGCGACAGCTTTCCAACAATCAAATGTAGTTCATGTTTTTAACCTTTCAAAGTCTTTTTTTCAAAAGTGTGGTATTTTTATTGTACATTAAGTTGATTGTTTATTCATCGAGTTTAAAATTGAAAGTTTGCAACAGCTATTCTATATCAAATATATATTCTGACTTATTCTATATTCACTCCAACATTTCAAATTTTGCCTCAATATCCCTTCCAGAACTCTTTTCTGTCACCTTGCAACAGATTTCAGTCAGTCCAAACGTAAAGGAAACATTGCATTTTCTATTTGTATCCTTGTCACCAGTAAGAGGTATAATTAATTTCCCGAGAAATTTGCAGTCATCATCAAGGTAAATTGTATTTGTTTTTTCCGTGTAAAATATCTTATATTCTATTTCCGACTGGTTTTTACTCAAAGCAAAAATGGCACTAGAAATGATGTGCCCTTTCGATGTTATTTTTTCTCCCGCTTTTACTAAAGTGTAAAAGGAACCCCTGCATCTCGTGATTCCATAATCATCAACGTATTTCCTGTCTTCACAGTGAACACTTGGATCAAATTTAGAGTGTGAATTTGTACCGTAAGAATACCTTAGTATACGCTCAAAAATAACCTTTGAATCATGTCCAAAAAGAACAGCTCCTTTAACCACTGCTAGTTCGCATTCTTGAGGAATGATTAAGTCCTGTTGTGGAAAGCATTTCCTTATATCATCTTGCAGAATAATGCATTCTCCATATCCACCAACAAGGAGGATTTGCCTCACTTTAGGAAAACCTTGCAAAATGCCTTCAATATGTGTCGTTATATTCTGTATAGATTCTGTAAAGAGAGACTTCATGAGAGTTGAGTCAATCTTTAGTTTATCGTGCCAAAAATTGACATGTCCCTTGAAATCTGTACTCTCGGCATTTTTTCTGAAACCTGGATTATTGTTCGATGCAAATTGCAAAAGTGATGATGGCAATCTTATAACATAATTCTTCTCGCAATCATCTGTAACTGTTCGCTTTTTTATCTCAAAATCTCTAAAGATATCAAGGTAATCGCATATTTCCTCTGATTTTAATTGCGTAAAGGCTTCCTCTCCAAAGAGTTTAGAAAAAAAATGGAAAAGCCTTTTGTCGACGTTTATTCCACCAAAAGCTCCACCGCTTGCTTTGCTAACTTCCTTTAGTTTTCCATTGTCGAGCTTTTCGTGAACAGTAAAATCACCAGTACCACCTAAATTTAACAAGCACAAATAATAGCTATTCAGAAAGCAATCAATATCCATAATCATTAAAGCAGGATATGTGATAAATGATTCTTTTTCTATAATGAGATATCAAAATATTTATCAGTCATCATCATATATTTTAAAACATGATTAATTCTCCTTAGATTTGGAGAAATGTTTTTGAAGAAAAATAACTCAAATGAGTGAGAATTAAACATTTTTATCATGGTTTCTCTTGTCGTGTACTTTTTTGTGGAATGTAGAAGATTTTTCATTCCCTATGTCTAAGGTGAAAAAACTTTTTATGTATCATCGGTTCTGAAATAAGAAAAAACTATAACCTCATCAAATTGTAACAATGTCCATAAACATAAAAAAGTGTTCTTATTAAAGGAACAAGAGGCCCAGGGGCCACAGCGCTCACCTGAGCACATCGGGCTTGAATTAACCCCCCTCCCCTTCCAGGCGTTCTTCATTTGAACAAACTAGAATCTACACTACCTTAGGATGATTCCATATAAATACCCCGGGTATCACTAATCATAGCTTTTAAGTACTTGAAAAGAAGATTTTAAAAGGTTTCCCTATGTAAAACTTGGGTCGGCCATTTTGGCACCACCCTATACCCAGGGCCGGGGGTTATGATTTGAAAAAAAAAACTTGAATCTACACTACCTGAGGATGATTCCACATGAGTTAAATCTTTCCTGGCCCAGTGGTAATTGCGCAGCATTGTTAAGGCTTGAATAAGGGGGCGGGGCCTAATTTATACGGGAAAAGTATATTATGACGTCAGACAAAAATATGACATTTCTGTAGTTCTCATAATACGTGTAAAAGAAATAATCTGCAACGCTGAACAGAATTAGCATAATAAACAACATTATAACTTATCAATGCATTAAAAAAAGTTGCTAGTTAAATCCCATGTAGCTTGTTGTAGACAAAGCACTCGTCGCGATGAACTTTTAAACATGACGTCATACTGGTAAAAATGACATACTTCATGTGCTGTGAGAGGCAAATTGAGAAATTGTTTATCAACGAAAAATGTGTTTTATTATCAAACGGAATATTATTTACATATTTTAAATAGTGGATTAATACCAACGTAAAGCCTTTGTTTAGAGCGATTGTTAATTAACTACAAAGAGAATGTATTTTATTAATTATGTCGTGTTTTATGTACAGGTTACGTATATTTTACATCGAGATGTCTCATAAAATCTTACTTTCGCAAGGGCATACACTAAATAGATCTGAACCATTTTTTAAATATAGATAAAGGATATATTCCTTAACTTGAAAAGTGCTGCTGCTTTCTTTAAATCGAGGCCGTGATTTCATAAGTGCACAAAATATTTGGTAAAATTCTAACATATTTCGACATTGGCCTATTTAGTTAAACATTTAAGTATTAAACGGCGAATTCTATTCAAAGCAGCAGCACTTTTCAGAAACTACAAAGTACACAGAAACTATTAATAGCTTGAATTTTTAATTCCAATTAGGGTATGCCCTTGCGATATTAAAATTTGTTATTGACCTACATTCCGTGTACCTGCTATGCGTTCATCACGTGACTGTCCATCGATGGGACCAAACTCTACACAGTACAGAGTATGTTATACCATGCTATTTCCATAAGTATTTAAGTTCTGTGATAATAGAATTGCTGAATAAAAATAAATTCAATTTTAAAAATTTCCCGTTTTTTTGCACTTTATTTTCCGTTGATTTCTCATAGTAAGCCTTAACAGTGCTGCGTGAGAAGGATTTTTAAAGATATCTCCTATATATTACTATGTAAAACTTGGGTCGACCATTTTGGCCCCATCCTTGCCCCGGGGGTCATGATTTGAACAAACTAGAATCTACACTACCTGAGGATGATTCCACTTGAGTTTCATCTTTCCTGGCCCAGTGGTTCTGGAGGAGAAGATTTTAAAATATATCTCCTATATATTCCTATGTAAAACTTGGGTCGAACATTTTGGCCCAATTCTTGCCCTGGGGGTCGTGATTTGAACAAACTTGATTCTACACTACCTGAGGATGATTCCACATGAGTTTCATCTTTCCCGGCCCAGTGGTTCTGGAGGAGAAGATTTTTAACGATTTTTCCTATGTATTCCTATAAAAAACTTGGGTCAGCCATTTTGGCCCCACCCTTGCCCCGGGGGTCATGATTTGAACAAATTTGAATCTACACTACCTGAGGATGATTCCACATGAGTTTCATCTTTCCTGGCCAAGTGGTTCTGGAGAAGAAGATTTTTTTTAAAAATGCCATTAATTTTTATCAAATTCATGAATATCTCCCCTTGGAAAAAGGCGTGGCCTTTCATTTGAACAAACTTGAATCCTCTTCACCCAATGATACTTTGCGCCAAGTTTGGTTGAAATTGGCTCAGTGGTTCTTGAGAAGAAGATGAAAATTTGAAAGTTTACAACAACGACATCGACTATGACGAAGACGACAACGACAGACAACGGACAAATCATGATCATAAAAGCTCACTTGAGCCTTCGGCTCAGGTGAGCTAAAAATGAAATTACTTTTAAAAGAAATATTTTGCTGAATTTCCTATTTTTTGTTAGAGACTGAGAGATGGTTTTTTTAAAACATGATTAATTCTCCTTAATCTTTGAGAAATGTTTTTGAAGAAAAAATAACTTGAATGAGTGAAAATTAAACATTTTTATCATAGTTTCTCTTGTCGTGTACTTTTTTTGTGGAATGTAGATTTTTCATTCCATATGTCTTAGGTGAAAAAACTTTGTATGTATTATCGGTCCTGAAATAAGAAAAAACTATATATCCTCATCAAATTGTAACAAGGTACAAAAACATTAAAAAAAAGTGTTCTTATTTAAGAAAAAATGAAATCACTTTTAAAAGAAATATCTTGCTGAATTTCCTACTTTTTGTTAGAGACTGAGAGATAGTTTTTTTACAAGAAAAAAGAAAAATCAAAGACTTTACCTCCTATATCGGCGATTAGGTACTGGTTCCTACTTCTGAAATGCTCAATCCTGCACCACTCGTGAGTATTTCAGTTGGAATGTTTTGACAGTGTATTGATGCAGCTTCAGGTTCCAGAGCTTAATAATAAGTCTGTTTGATGCTATCCCAGCCTAGAAAATCAATTTCTGAAATTTATTTCATGAGCGTATATTTCAAATGAATATAATGCATATCATACAAAAAAAATGTTTTCAAAGCTACAAGATTTTTCTAAGTTACTTTATAAACAGTTGGAAAGGGAGTGGACGAGATACATGTGTCTATCGTCCCGTAGTTCAGACTGACCGCAAGTCCATCTGTACACCTTTTGTCCGTGTATTTCCAAAATTAGTGCCAACCAGCTGTAAACCCAACCTGACAGAAAGCATTCGGAGAACAGTCCCAAGACGGTCTGCTTTCTTGGACTGCTAGAATAGTCTCAAACAGTCATACGGCAGTCACAAGACAGTTTTCTATTAAAAAGCATTTTTTCAAGACTTTGTTTTAAATTTTGAATAAAGCATAAACCTATGACATCACTGGAGGATCAAGTAATCCGTATGCATACCCAAAGCAAATTCTTCATCTCATATCTTACGGATTCACATAAGTTTATATAAAAACGATAACATAAATTTGCTGGTTCAAAAATATGTCTTTTAAAAGAGTTTTTTTAGACATCGACTAACGGGAAAAGCAATTTCCTTCGAGCATTGTTTATTTCCTGAAAACAAGTAAATTGGAAACAAGTCCTATAAAACATACTCGTTAGAAACCTGTTTTCTCAAACATTTTTTTTTAATTTTCTAATGACAATCGGAAAGCCCCTCTCGTCTCTTATAATATATAAAATATAATATATATATATATATATATATATATATATATATATATATATATATATATATATATATATATATATATATATATATATATATATATATATATATATATATATACTGTATAAATAATTTTAAATAATAAAGAGATTCGATATTAAAAAAAACCTGGTTATACAGAATTATTTCTTATATTAATGGAGCCCACTAAAAAATTCTGTTAATAGAATGAGTAAATCTTTTGAAAATGAAAATGTTTTAATAATAACTGAATTTGATATTTTACCATTTCTGCAGCTTCATGCATAAACTCCTTTGCTGAATCCGTCCAAATCGCTGGAACGGTCAGTACGAACCTTACATCAGACAGAATTATAGTAGGTAATCTATCTCTCAAGGTCTTCATCACATGATTTTTTAAGAATTTTATCGACATGGAGAAAACGTCCATGGCTGGAATTGTTTTCCCTAATATGTCATCTAGTGTTGTTTTTCTGGACAAATGCTGAAAATTGTTAACAAGAGTCAAAATCAAATTTGGAGTCATCAACAAAAACTTAACTTCAAGAAAGCAAAGCATACAAATATATTAGTTTTTATGTATAAAAATATATATGCATGCATAACGAAATTTCAAATTTATAGTACGTGTAATCAGGATTTCAGTTTTTCCTAAATATTTAAGGAAATACGTGACATAAATGTATTATACTGTTTTCCCTTTAGGAAATACTTGTATATACTGTTTTCATTTTAGAAATGTATGCATTTACTGAATTGACAATACTTTTTACATGTATTTACTGATTGTGTTTTTGTGAACTAATTTAAAATAAGAATCAGATATTTATAAAAAGATGCACAGTATACCGGTAAATGAATTTTCTGGAACTGGATTGAAGAGGAAAATTTTTCTTTTTTGATGCAATTAAATCGAAATGTCCATGATGAAAGAAGGCTTTTTATTGAGAAGCTCTTTTCTTGGTATCAAAATGATATTTCATAAACAAAATGCCCGCTATAGGTCACCTGAGCATAATGCAACAACTTTTTAAAGATTGAATATGGTTCATGTTTCAAACAAGAGGCCATGGCATTCACAATTTGAAAGAGACCATTGCTACATTGTAATCACAACTACACACTTTGCAATTAATTG